ATTGGGGGGGGGGGGGTATGCAAAGGACTTATGCAAGGGACTCGTGCATTGGAGAGGAAATGTGTGCGTGCAGGGTTGGTCTGCATTGGAGAAGGGAACACGTGTATGTGCATGTGTGTGTGTGTAAATCCTGCATTGGTAGGGAGACACGGTCCATTTGTGTGTGTGTGCATGGAAAGGACTTATGCATTAGAGGAGAAGTGTGTGTGCGCGCGCTCAGGGTTGGTCTGCATTGGAGGGGAAATGCGTATGTGTGTGGAAATCCTACATTAGAGACACGGTTCATTTGTATGCGTGCATGCAAGGGACTTGTGCATTGGAGGGGAAGTGTGTGTATGGTCGGTCTGCATTGGAGGAGGGAACACATGTATGTGCGTGTGTGTGTGTGTAAATCCTGCATTGGGGGGAGACATGGTCCATTTTTTTTTGTGTGTGTGTGAATGCAAAGGCTTATGCAGTGGAGGGGAAACGTGTGCATGGAAGTTGTGCCTTGGAGGGGAAACATGGTTCGTGTGTGTGTGTCTGGGAGGAAGTTGTGTATTGGAGGGGGCCCAGGAGTGGGGGGTGTGCATGGAAGCTCAGCCTTGGAGCGGGGAGGTGGTTGTGCAAACCCACTCCCGTTTCCACTGCACGAAGATGTCCGGGTTCTCGCTGCTCTCCATCTCTTCGGACTCTGCTGTTTCGGAGTCGCCAATGTCACGATTTGGCTTTTTGCACCCTGCAAACCTGTGATGCTGGTGATTTGCCCGCCCCCTTTCGGGGGGAGATGAAGCAGGCAGGGGCCGTGGGCGGTGAGATTGCAGCCATGAACAGGCACCTGGGGCCGAGCAGTTTCCTCGTGGCCAGGGGGGATCCCGTGGCTCTAGGGTCATTTGCGTTCAGCTTTAGTCTCCCCTCAATTTTTGGAGGTGGGTCGGGGGCGGTGGCATGAAGGGATGATGTTAAAAGGGCTTCTTTTTCTGGTCAGATCATTTGGCCTCTCTCTGTTTTGCCTCATAGTCTCTGCTCAGGAATAGGATGTTTCCTTGCATTTAGGGATGTAAAAACCTAACTAGTGAGCAGTAATTTGTCTTTATTTCTGGAAAAGGGGAAGGGGGCCAGGAGAGGGAGAGCAGGTTTGATCTTTCAGCAGGAGAAGGGAACAATTTTGAGGCTGGAAGTTTGCTAATGAATAGGTTTTAGGCTGGAGGAGAGAATGAAGTGCTCTGGATGCAGTGGCTGGTAGAGGAGTTGTAAAAATGTTTTGAGGAAGGCTGGGGTTGATGGAGTCGGTAGGCATGTTCAGTAAGACTGCGTGTCTTTGCACAGTGCATGCCAATTAACTCTTTGAAAATTAGGGCACAGTTTTGCCATGTGTGCTCTGGCAGGGCTGGAGAGGCGCCTTCTGTCTTGGAGGGGCAGGACCTTTTTGGCTGGAGCTGCCTTAAAGAGATCCTTAGGTTTAAAAACTGAAAGCCAGTGCTTTTCTTCAGGAAAAGGCTTACAGAAAAGAAAGACTGACTAGCGTAAAGGAAATGAAAACGAACTTGAGAGACCAGGTCCAGTGTATTTTTAAACGGCCAGGTTTAAATTATGTTTTTTATTAACTTGTGAAGAGCATCTTCAAATAGGGTTCTTGCTCCTCATAGCCATTCTTTTAAAATAAAGCGCTAGTAACATTGTAGGGTTCAGCATTCTGTCCTATAAAATGTTTGCACAAGAAATAGCTTTTATTTTTTGTGAAGTACCTGGGTATTTAATTTTAAACATGACCAGATACACCGAGGAACTTCTCTGAGTTGAACAGTTTCTGTAATCAAATCCTCTCTGCAGTTCACAATGTTAATAGTCTGTGTTTTTGGGAGTTATTACAAAAAGAATTTTGCTGTTAGGGGGAAAAATGATCTCCCAAGCAGATGTTTTGCATCACTTCATATTCTTCCCTCTCCCCACAATTGTGGAAGGAAGATTAATCTTAATTTTTATTTGTTTTTCTTCTATAATGTGTCACAGCCAAAAGGCACTTCCATTTTCGGTCAAACAAGCAAGGCATTCCTAAGTAGGAATACAAAGGAATTACAACAGAGAGGAAGAAAGGTTTTAGATTAAGAGAAATCTATCTGAGATCCAATGATCATGTTTAAAATGCAGGTAATATAAAAGGGAAGGTTCTAATCAATAACAAAGATTGAGAAAAATATTCAGAATGAACCAGGGTTTAAACATAAACCCCAAATAACCCTCTCTTCCCCCCCACCCCCAAAAAAAACAAAACAAAAAACAAAGAACCTGGCAACCAAACAAACAACCACCCACCACAATTTCATTGGGAAAAAGAATGTAGCTGTGGTCAAGTGTGAGATCTGCAGGTCAGGGGAGAGAACCCCCTTATGTAAGAGGTGAGTTTAAAATGCAGCCTACGTTTAGAATTTCCCTGAATGTTCTTGTGGCGAGCATGCTGAGGCTCAGTTTTCCTTTCCTCACCTAATGTTAACTAAAAAAGGGAGAAAGCTGGAAGTGGGTGAGTTAAATGGCCCAGAACAAAAATACCATTAACATGATATCTGGTCTGATGCTACTGTGGCCCTATTACTATATCACTGCATCGGTTTTATCTTTTTTTGAGCATTATCTTACATACCCAAGCTATGCTTTATGTTTCAAACGTTAATTCACAGCGGTACATCCTTATGTCTTTGGATCCATAACTCAGGCTATGTAGTAAAAATCCTTATGAATGTAACTACTGTACGACGCACATTTATATTTTTAACATCAATGTCTTCTAAATACTTGGTAGAGAATATAGATGTGCATACATAACTATCCAGGCAACTTAGATAGCAAATATACAGTGTTTCAGTATGAAGGGTTTTGTGTATTAATCAGATGCACCAAAAATTGAAGAGAAGGGATGATTTGGAAGTGATCAGGTAATTGTTATGGTAAGAGTCTGTCAGGAGAAACAGTGAGGTTGTTGGTGCTTATTACTTCTTGTTGGTATTAAGCCATGTGCTCAAATGTTTTAGTACCAGTATTGGGACAATGGGTTATATGACTCATTAGCTACAAGGGTAGGGAAATGCAATGAGCTAAATCTGTTAAAAGGGTAAAGTATAGGAACAGTTGTGGATTGTGAGCTAGTTTCAGTGTGGAGACAGTGTTGGGTGAAGAGAGAAATGTTTTTCTTTCAGTAAAGTAAAAGGAATCCAGCTAGCACTTGATTAGATAACTTGTGAAAAAATGGTTTTTAATAGAAGCAGAAAAAGGCTAGGAAGTGAAGAATAAATCCAGCTAGTTTTTAGGCTGTCATCAAATAAATTAATTTTCTGGTGTTAAGAGCGGGGATTGTTTGGATTGTATAATCTGGTAAAAAATCTGACCCACAAAAAAAAATTTCCTTTCTTGTCAGTGGAATTTTGATATATCTTAAACATGAATTCATTCTCATTCAAAATCTGGTGTTTGCCTTTAGTTGCATACCAGATCTTGTCTATATACATGGTTAAAATGTTCATATAAAGACAGGTCTGAAGTTTTTAAGTCTCCTTTAACTGATAACTTACCCAGAGATAAAGCAGTTATTTATCTGAAGAAAAGTTTTAAAAAAAGGGAAGCATTTTGAAATATGAAATTAATGCTTAATAAAGTTGTTCTTTTTTCTTCTTCTTTCTTATGCTTCTGGTATTTATATTTGAGGAGTATAAATACTATGTAGCATTATTAGGGATATAATTATTCGATTGTAATTCTGCTTTTAAAAACTGCATTATTTAAAAATATTTTTTTCTTATGAATGGGTCACATTTCTGTTTTGGATCATAATTTTACTGACAAACATTGAAAGCTTTTATATGGTGGGAAGAGAAGGTAGTTCAATTATTCCATCTATGCAATTTGTGAAGGGAACAAACTTCATACTAATACATTTCCTTGCTACTTTTGGGGTTTGTGCTTACAAAGAACATGTAAAAACAGACTCTCTTCTTCACCCTTTTGAATCCACAGTATTTCAGAGTAAAGAACTTTCTTAACCAATTCCATGTAACGCATGGAAGAGGGGAGGTTAAAAACAGAATCAAGTGAAATCATTTAAAGTAATGAGTATTCCC